GGGTTTAATATTTTTCCTAGAACTTTTTTTTTTTTTTTTTTTTTTTTTTTTTTTTTTTTTTTTTTTTTTAAAAAAAAAAAAAAAAAAAAAAAAAAAAAGACTCAGACATCCTCAAAATCATAAATTTGATTCAAAAATAATGACATGCCCCCTGCTATGAGCTTTTTAGGTTCATTTCCTAAAGAACCGGGAGTTCTGAGGCTGGAAATATTTTTAATAGTGATGGACAGGAACAAGGATCACTATAAACAGAGCAGCCTTATTTTTCTCTAGGATGGCTCAGATGAAAGCAACCTGCATGCTTTGGTACGTGCTGCCTGTCACCAATGCCCTGTATCACAGTCCCACAGAATAACTGTCTTTGTAAGGACCGCTCATCTGATCCAACCCCTGGTCGCAGAGCAGGGTCAGTTTGAATTGTATGTCAGTGTTGCCTTCTAGAAGTAGAAAATCAGGCTGAATTACTGTACACCTAGAAATCATGAACAGATACAGCAAGTTCTCAACATCTGCCCAAAGCTAATTTCCAGGTAGGAAAAAAAGAATAACCATTTCTGGCAAGTCTGGAGGAAGGCTCCTTTGAAGAGTTCACATATTGAAGCTTTACAAGCCACATATTGCAAGACTTGGCAATATAGAAGACCTGACACCTTTACCAATTAAATGAACTTTCTGGTGATGCTTCTGCTGTAAGAGGCCAGACTTGCATCAGTAAATTAAGCCAAGTGTAAGAAGCAAGCAAGCGAATGGCTGAGCAAGGACTTCACAAAATTCCTCAGCAGCAGCCCTGCAGGGGTCTAAGCAGCATTTTTTTGTGAACACGCATAACATCGCCTTCTTGTTTCTCATTAAATAGAAGGATTTTAAATTGATTCTCCACTGTTACTGAAGCTGCAGAAAATTCAGAGTTTAAAATCAGAGCTCAACAAGGCAGAATACTTCACTCAGCATTGTAGTGGCCCAGATGTTCAGGAGGCAGCTAAAGGCTGAGAACTACAGCTCTGAACATCTGGCCTCGGAACAGGGAAGAGCCACAGAATTCCTCCTGGTCAAAATAAATACCTAAGGCAGAGACTAAGTTTGAAGGATAGAAGAAAATTCAAACAAAATATTGTAGACATGAACATTGGAATGAAAAGAGAAGAGGATTTAAGAAGGCCCAACTGGAAAATACAGATAATTCACTATTTCTGTCAGGAAATTTCCTCAAATCCCCAACTACCTTTCCTCCTTACTTACAATACAATATCCTCATTACCTGTATTTTGTTATGCCTGATGTACATCAGTGGGGACAGAACTGTGCAGAGAAGGAGGCGGTACACCTGTCTTTCTAAAACACAGGATTTGATAGGTTTGTAAGAATGTTGAAATTTATTTCCTTAGTTTATAGAAATGCTTGAAATATTTTTGGTGGGAAAGACTATTGGGATTTTGACTGAATTCCTTCTAAGACTTTTTAGGGGATAAGGGAAGGAAGGGCTGAGAAATAGATATAGTTTGTGGTAAAACCTCAATTATATTTTACCGTTAAGTTTAGTAGAACTTCTTGAAAGTAATATTTGGTGTTTTCAGCAGATTTTAGTTGCTTTTATCTCAACCATCTTCTAGTTACTGAAGATGATACAGGATTCCTTTTGAATAGTTACACTAACAAAAAATAATTTCCCATCCTGCCCCAAATATACAATAATTAGACTGGAAATGATTTCTTCTAGGTCATGTTTTCTTGAATGTCGGAAGTAGTAGATTATTTTTTTTTTTAGTATTTTTTTTTTATTTTTAATAAACGTTTCTTAAATATTGCCATGGTATCCCTGTAATGGTAGGCCTGCCTCCATCTCACATGCCTTGTCTTGCTGCAGTCTACTGCTTCATCTGTCAAAATATGTGTTTCACATACACCTACCTAGCTAAAACTCCTCATTAATTCTTTCATACAATGACATCTGGTAACTTGAAAATGTTATTTTCTTCATAGGAAAAAAAAAAAAAAAACAAAAAAACAAAAAATCAAAGTGAGAAAGGCTTGTTATGGTATGTCTACTTCAGCCATAAAAATAGTTGTGATTAAGCACATTTACTTTAACCTACCCATCTCGAACCTATTAGACGTATGCAATTCTTCATTGCATGGAAGCATAACTAAGCTTTTTTATTGAGGTATACTAGAATTAAACACAGTATTTTTTTCTAGTAGCTGGTCAAAATAAAACCTCATGGCAGAGACTAAGCTTGAAGAGTAGCAGCAAACCCAAGCAGAAGAACTGTCTACAGGAAACCTTGTAATCCTTGTTATGTTCAGTGCGAGCATCAGCTGGAGACAGGGATTCTGTGCTAAATTTATGCTGGAATTTAGTAGCCATTAAATAATACTTCCCCATGTTCCTTCAAATTAAAATTTAGGAGAGCCTTCCATAAATACTGTCTATTATTTCAAATATGTTATATTTTAGGAGGGCTGGGCAGAAGAAACCTTTCTGAAAACAACAGCAAATTTTCAATGCAAAGCAGTAATACTTAACAAGAGCAAGAAAAATCGCATCATATTACCTTGGCACAGAGTGCGCTCCACAGTACGTTGAAGAAATGCCAATATCCATGGATTGCTTAGCACGTTCTATCACCCTGAGCATTTTGAGCTCTGTTTCTAAGTTTAGGCCATATCCACTCTTGCACTCAACCAAGGTAGATCCTGCTCTGCGCATGCGTTCGAGTCGGTGTTTGAAAGTGTTGAACAGCTCTTCTTCCGAGGCTTTCCGAGTGTGTTCCACAGTAAAATGTATTCCTCCCCCCGCCTGGTGGATCTCCATATAGGATGCACCTGCCAGCTTGGGGACAAAAAGAAAACAAAAACCAACCCCCCCATACAATTAGCTATTAAATGTGCATTTTCTATCCAAGAGAGTCTGGAAAGTTCCTTGAAGTCTCTGCAGTGAGACAGAAAAAAAAAGGGGGGAAAAAAATCCACATTAACTCTTCCTCCTTATCCCTTCTCTTTCCCCTCCACTTTAGTGAAGAAATGATGTAAGAAGTGACATAAAGAGAATTACTCTGAAGATTTGCTTCCCTCTGAGCCCAAAGGGAAAACCTACCTCTAGTTCAAAAATTCATTATGTGGGGAAAAAAAAAAAAAAAAACAAAAAACAAGATTTAGACGGTAATGGAAGGCAGCACTGCTGTATTGCTTCAATTTATGCAAAAATATAGGAAGGCTGGCTGCAAAGGCTGCAGCTACACTCCTCTCAGCCTACCAATATCCTCCCTCCTCCCTCAGTTAGATTATCTGACAGGAATTATGTATTTTTCTACAGAGAAGAGATGGGAGTCTGCTAGAAAGTAGAAATAGTTACACATCAAAAAAAGAGGAAGAAAAATCCAGCTGTGTAATCTTATGCCATTACCTTCATTGCAAACTCATGGACCCTGTCACCAGCCCACACTGGATGTGTATGTGCATCTACCAGGCCTAAAGAAAACAAAGTAAATGTACACTCAAGTTATTTCACTGTATAAAAGAAAAGCTTATGAACATGCAAGCAAATGAAATGGAAGCTCCCCTATAAAGCCTCTATTGGTTAGAGAAAAAGAAAATTCCAACCAGCCAAAAATCTAGGATTTTTTCAAAGGCTATTAACTTCCTTTGGATTTTTTTAGGTGTGACACCTTATGCAAAATGTCTCTAGGTAATTGCATCAGTTGCTGAATTTTTCATGTTGTTTTGATGACATTTTCAAACCATGGTATAAATGAAAGACGACAAAATTTGAAGGAGTTCATCAGACTTTAGGTCTGCGTTCTTTAAAAAGAGCTTAGGCTGGGCTTAGTACAGCAGCACTTACTCTTGCAAAAGTCCACTTACTCCAGCGGGAGCTTTTTCCATGAGCTGTGAAACCAACACTACTGAACGTCCAAGGCCACTGCAAACAACACAGTGGTCTGACAGCTCACGCGATAATACCACTTGCAAAGTTTAACATGCAATAGATTTGCCCAATTTGTTGATTGGGGTTTTTTTTAATCAGATAAATTTGCGGAGTATGTGACTTAAAATTCTGTGCTGCTCTTTTTCCTCCAACTGGCTGCAGGCGGGACAGAGAGACTGATCCCACGGCTGATGGATGGAAAAGCTGGAGGAAAAGAAATGTGAAGCTGAAAAGTCACTAGGTGGGCCAGCTGCATGACTGTAACACATGGGAACAGATGAAACGAGGGGACAGGGCTTTACCATGAAGCCAAAAAAAATCCCCATCCCAAATGCTGCAGTTTTCTCCTTGCAGCACTCCCGATGAGGAAGCTGCAATATTCTGCCCCTCAACATAAGGTGTTATCTGCACTGAATACAGAGGAAAAAGGGCAGAAGGATGTTTAATACACATTTACTTTGTCTCTAAGTACTTCCTGCCATTTGGTATTGTATCATTATGAAAAAAATACACCTACCTGGTAACACACACTTCCCAGAGCAGTCAATGATTCTTTCAAATGTTGCTCCTGAAAACTGATTGCGAATAACATCTGCTTGTCCCACAGCTTTGATGCAGCCATCTCTGCAAGCAACAGATAACAACAAAAGAAAGTCAGGCGCTCACTGAGAGAGCTCCTGGAGCAACAACTCTCTGAAATCAGGGGCAGGGACCTTCAGCAGGACTGAAGGTGCAGACAGGAGGTGGTTTGCTAATCTTACAGATACACAGAAAATTATGGGGTAACGCCATGGATTTCAAGTTGTTTGCCATAACACTTGTCATGTCCTCTGCTTAGATGCCTCAAGATGATACCTTGGAACTCTTTCATTCTGATTTCTGCGAGGCAACATCTTTTTTCTCATGTGGATCAGCAAATATACAGCATTCCTCCAGCAAGCCTCTGCAGGGCACCCTTCTCACAAAAATCAAACTCTCATCATCAGCGTCCACTGCCTGGACCTGACTCATATCCATGTGCCCATGGAAGCCACAGGGATAAATCTCTTTGGGGCTGATCTTCAACCTCAGTTCAGCAGCAATTTCCTCCCAGTGGAGCTTAAGGATGGGAACCCTGCACTGCACTAGAGGGATGCCCTCCAGCCATGCATGGAGATCCATCCACCCCACCTCCATGACAGGAGCTTCCTGGGGCGCAAGGGGTACCTCTATCCTTTCAGCCTTGTCTTTCTCCAGCTCTTTTCAAGCCACTGGAATAGTAACCAGGAGTCATCATGAGTACTTCACTGGAAGTATCTCCATGCTACGTGACTGAATTTTTAAGAGGCAAATAGCAATTAGAGCATGTAGAAATGGGAGAGATGTAATTATACACATTGATTATTAACTATAATTTCATTAGTTATACAAATTATTTATAGGATTGCTATTAGTTCATATCAGTTATCCTAGAAACAAAGCAGAGAGGCAGAAGAGGGTAGCAGTTATGATCAACACCAGGCTAGAAGTTATCCTCACAAGGCTGGAAGCATGAACACAGCATGATAACAGAAGTTGTCATGGTATAGACTGTGAAATAACCCGCATTCTGAAGGCGTGTTTTCATGCAGGCAGATGGCTGCGGTCCCAGGGCAAGTCCCAGACCCAGGCAGCCCATCAGCTGGTGAGCGGGCTGGTGGGGCAGGGGGGCAGCTCGCAGAGACTCCCTCCCACCATCACCCAGCCCTGCCACCCCCTCGGCCCCCTCCTGCCACCAGCCCCACCGATCCCCCAACACGCTCCCGCCAGCAGCTCTGCCACCCCCCGACCCCCTGCCACCATCAGCCCCCGCACTCACAGTCCCACCACCAAGCTGGCCCCCTGCAGCAGGGCCAGGCTGGTGGCTCCATCCCTCCGCAGGTACTCCTCACCCCGGCTGCAGACCAGCACCAGCTGCTGGGCGTTCTCCAGCAGCAGCCGCTGCCGGCCCGCCATGGCTTGCAACAGGGACGCCGCTCAGCTCAAAGTCCTCCTGCCCCCACCTGACCCTCACCCTGCCCGGTTGGTCTTTGCTAACCAGCCTCCCAACAGAGGGGGGAGGCACGGGGGTGGGAAGTAAAGCTGGGGGCAGGTGGGATGATTTCTCTGGAGCACAGGTGATGTGGATGGTGGTGGTGGCCACCATCACTTGGCAGAAATTCGGGCTGGAAAAGCTACAGGCCTTTAAGAGTGAATTTGGTGGCAGCCTGCTGTGCTAGGCAAGGGATGCTGCTCTCGCCGAGGTCCGGGGCAATGTGACAACATCCATACGTGGTGCTGGCTTGCAATAATCTCCAAAGCACCAGTTTTGCCAGTTGGAGATTTCCTGGAGTCCTCTGCCTGCATTGCACCACCTGGAGATTTCCCTTTGCTAAGAAAACAGGAGCTTCTGAATTGGGAGCATTTCTCTGCCCACATTCCCCCTTCCTGGCATCCATCCCCTCTGCAGCATCCATCACCTTGCCAGTGTCCACCTGTCCATCACTTTGCCAGCATCCATCACCTTGCCGGCGTCCATCACCTCCCCAGCATCTCAGCACCAGCCCCTGAGGGATCATAACACCTCTCCCCACACTGGGTATTCAGGCAAACATTAATTTATCCAGGCAGATATTAATCTATCCAAGTCCATGGTCAAGATGTTTGTGCGATTTTGCTGCCCCCTGCAGAATCCAGGAGGGAAGAGTCAGGGAGCAAATATTTGCTCTTGACGTGGATTTGTGGTTTTTTCTCTCTTCAAACGTTCATAATGAGTACAGGGCTCCAGTAATTCCCAGGTAGCAAATGGCGTGTATTTCTAAACAGGTGGTCCTAGCCAAAAAAATGAGCACACAGCTGAGAAGACCCTAAATCTAATCACTGCAAAGAGACAAAACACTGTGGACTCTATGAGCTTATCGCTGACTGCAAAGGACCATGAGCTTTGGCCATAAGGCCAGATGTGGGAATGATACCAGCTCCTGTGTCTGGATGTGGCCGCATCCTCACTTCCAACAGGACACAGGTGCACACAAACCCTCCTTTCTCTAAGACAGGCCAGGACCACAGGAATTTTCATCTTTCATGAAGCTCCCCACTTGAGAGGGCAGAGGGATAAAGGAGACATTTTATTTTCCCCATGTGTAGAACTGGGATAACGTCTGTGTTTGACACCAGCACTGTGGTAAGCAATTACTGACAAGAGCTGGGTCTAAGCAATACAATGGCTGTAATTTCCATTCACAAAGTCTGCCTCTAGCTGTCTGGTTTCTGGTGGCAGAACGCCTCTCCAAACCATATCTCACAGGTAGTGCTTCTTCACTCCATCAGAGGCCCAAACAGGGAGTCTCAGCCCAGCAGAGCAATTTCATTAGGAAATGCCCATAGGTAAGGGACACTCAGTTAGCCTTAATGCTTAAAAGTAAACATTTAAAACATGGTTATGTTTCTGCCAAAACATTTAACATTCCAGATGCCTGGTAACAAAGAGACTTTCTTTTTATGACAGAGACTGGGAAAGCGCACTCCCATTTTGCAGTGTATCACCTTAACTCTATTAATGACATTGAAGCCTATGGACCTTTAGAGCTGCCAGGAGACTATTTTTGTGTGGCTACTGGCTACCAAGTGGACACAAATGTGTCCTTCCTTAGTAGCAATTGTAGAGCCACACTTCAGGCTTCATGACACAAAGAAGCAGAGTATTTCTTAGAGACACCGGGGTGTAACGGATCTCCACATCTCACCTGCAGTGAAATCTTCACAACTATTTCCAAATAGTTTATGAGCTATTTTTAAAGTTTAAAGACTATAAATGTATGTATATATTTTTAAAGTTTAAAAACTATAAATGTATGTATATAGTAACTACATACAGACTGTGAAATATATATATAGAGAGAGAGAGAGACTGCCACGTTGCATTCACAGGACCAAACGTTCTTTACCTTCTACTTCACACTTATCTACATACAGTATGAATACCTGAGAGCAGAGCACTGACACTGATGCTGAACTGAGCCAATACATGAACGAACCATCTATTTTCTTTTGGAGTACGCAACTTCGAAGATTTAATTTATTCCAGGAGTCACTTAAATTCTGGTATTTTCCTTGGCAGTAACAGCATTTGTTGACACAGGTAATACTTAAAAGTTGTGGGGGTTTCATTTGTTTGTTTTTCAATATTCACTTTCCATTCTAATATTTTCCATTTAAAATTGAAATAATTGTCTATTCCTCCAGCATTAGTATTTTGGATGCCAACAGAAGATTAGAGACTTTTTCAAAAGTTAACGTCCCCATATTAAAATACAATGCCAAAAAAAAGTAAGCACATTATTACAAAATTATGAAAAAAAAACAAAAAAAAAGAAAAAAGTTTATTTCCAGATATACAAAACACCTATTCTCTCATTTCTCCATCTTCTTCCTCTTCTTCCACACCTCTGATGTACAAAACATTATTGCACCTGTAAATAAAAACAAAGAGTTCCCTTAACTGTAAGTATTTTCATTTTCCACCCCTTATATACACTGCTTTAAGCACTTTCTTGCTTGAGTGTAGCCTGGAAACAGCCAAATGCTCCATAAGGAATTGCTGCTTTCCATGAGGTCTGTAACAATTGCAAAAGTTATAAAAGCAGTAACTGGTTCACAATGTTAGTGTTAAAGTGCTGAAGTACAAGAAGTGTTTGCTTTTGGGTTAACAGTTTAGTCAAGTTTAATCTCCGAGCATGCAAAACGTTTTCAGCAGCAATACACTAATATAGTCTACTAATGCCAAGCGATTAATAGATGTACAATAATCTGGAAAACTAAAGTATTTAGTTATCTGAAACAGGGATTACAAATAGCGCTTTAAAAATATTTCAAAATTAATGTTTCCTCCCCTCAGAAGGGATCTCATAGACTTCACATAAGAGTTACTTTAACACTCAGCATCTTAGTTCGACACAAAACAGCGTCTAGCAATACAAGCTTTGACACCTGTGGTAAGAAGATTTAAAGCAACCCTTCACCTGCCGTAAGCATCCCAATTACCTTATCAAAACTTCACCCAGGTGTCCGGACAGCGCCCCGTCTATATACTCCTCTGTGTTTGCGAGCTTGGGAAGAAAACCAGCGAGACTCAGAGGGGCTGTAACAGCAGCAGGGCGGCTTTGCCCAGCGGCGGGCGAGCAGGGGGCGGCCCAGCGGCCCCGCTCCCACCGCCAACCCTTCAGAAGCGCCCCGCTTCGCCCCCCAGCCCCCCGCCGCTTCCCCGGGGCCGGGGCCCGACGCCAAGCCCGCCCCAGGCGCCTCACCGGGAACCCCGGGGGAGGCTCCCGCCCCGCCCCCGCCCCTCACCTGCATGTTCATGTAGCCGTCGACGGAGACGAGGTAGCCCTTGTACTCCATCCCCCACTTCAGCTTCACCATCACCGGCTTCCCCGTCAGCCCGTTCAGGAAGGGCTTGGGGTTGAGGGGCAGGCTCTGCCGGGGAGAGCACTGGGTCAGACCCGCCGCCCGCCCCGCCCGCCCCTCCCGCTCCGCCCCGGGACCGTTATCGCGGGCTTCCACTTCCGGGGCCGCCGCCGCTCTCACCTCTGACCCCTCACCCCCGCCGAGCCGCACTTCCGATAGGCCGGGGCGCCCCGCTCACGCGCGAGGCAAAAAGCGGGTCTGCCCATTGGCTGGGGGTGCCGAGGGAGTTCTTTCCCATTGGCCGGACAGGCCGCCCTCCGCCCTCTCCTAACCAATGGCGTGCCGTTGCTCTGCGGGGCGGGGTGGTGCTGCCGTTGCCGGGCGCCTCAGGCCGCTGTGGCGGGGGGGGGCGCCATCCCGCGCACCGCGGGGCCGCAGGCCTTTCCCGCCCACCCGCCTTGCGACCTCCTTGCCACCCCCCGGCCCCGCAGGCCCCAAGGAGCCGGCTTCGCCCCGCGTCAGCCGGCAGCGAGCCTATTTTGCCTTTGGGTCGGACGGACAGAGCAGCAGCTGCCCTCCCGACCCGGGATGGACGTGCCGCTTCGGAGCGACCGAGCGCGTCCGTGTGTCCGCCCTCCTCAGCTGGGTGTTGCTTGCTTTTCACCCCGGGATTTACCAGCTTGGAGGGCCGCGTTCAGCTCAGCAACGGTTAGCAACGTCTGTGTTTCCGTCGCTCCCGATGCGGGTGGATCTCCAGGAGGTGGCAGTGCTTCCCTGGCGCGGTGGCTGTGGCACATAACGGAGTCCTCTGACAACTCTCCGGGTGTTACCTCCGTGCCTTGCGGGCGGGGAAAGTGTGGCGACACCCATTCGTGCTTAGGAATATCTTTACGGACCAGTACTATCCACCCGTTACTCCGCAGGCGTGGATAGAAAACCTCAGAGTTTATAAGAGGCATGAACGGAGTCCTTGCCAGTGTGGGAGTGCTCTACTCGGCCTCGTTTGACTCCCAAGCAAAGCAATTGCTGGAGCTTTTCTTGACTGTAGAGAGCGTCAGCCTGTTCACACTCAAAGCATCAGTCTTGCTCTAGCTGTAATTCGTGACTCAACCTTTGACAGGCAAATAAGTTGAACCAATGTCTGTACCGTTCATTAAATTGTCATGCCTACACTAATGTCTTCTTTATGTCTAAAGTCATAGAATGCCACAATGTGTATTTATGTCCCTGCATACAGCATATTCCCTTCATCTTTAATGGATTGGGTGCTGAATGTGGAAAATGGACATTTAGGAATTAACCTTGCTCTAACAGAAATGTTACTTTTTTTTTGGTGCACTTTACCTTACAAAGGTCAGTCTAGTGCCCTAGTGTTGAAAGCAAAACCATCATCACCTGCTTAAATCTGGGTGTTTAATGCTGTTGGCTCAACAGCCAATCTTCTCCAGATCCAGACTGTCCTCGTGCACAGTGGTGACTGTACCTTTATGGATGGGTAGGACTGAACAAAAGTTGGAATTGTAATTCTTTTTAACTAGCATGTATCAAAAAGTGCACTCAGATACTTGCTTCCATGATCATCAGAAATGAGTGTGGTTTTCCATTATTGTGAATAGGATGGTTGGCAAAGCAATATCAAAATTATGCTAATAATCTTTCTGGTAGCAAGACTCACTACGGGCCAGCTGAAAGAGTAACTAAGTTGTAAGATTTCTGTAAGGAAGTCTGTTAAGCCTATATAGGAAAAGCATGAACACAACGGGAAATGGTATATACAGCAAATTTTTTTCATTCCACTTTGAGTAAAGAATAGCTGTTTTTAAGTGATAATGTGTATAGTGTGGCAGAACACAATGAGCTTAGAGTGAGTGCCTTGGATAAAATCATACTGTGAGAGTAATTTTTGCACTTTTCTAACAATTGCCAAAGATAAATATGTATATCTGTGAATGGCAATATAACAGGTTTGATGTGTTATCTGTAAGCAGCATTTCTTTTTACATATTGAACCAATTTTGATCACATCTCCTACTCATGTTGGGAAAACTTTTTGTATACCAAGAAATACAGAAGCAATTACATTCAGCTTTTAGTATACTCTGTTCCTCTGGCAGATGAGTAAATAGGCCAGCCCAGTTGTTATAAAGTTATCAAAAACTAGAAGAATTTCCCAGGGTCATAGGTATTGGCATGGAAGTCAAAGAGCAGGAGTGCTTGACTTCTGGTTTCATAATGGGTGCATGGATTCACGCGTCAGTAACCTCATCAGCTGTAGACTGGGTCTGCAGTAATTTTGTGTGGCAGTAGGGGAGGAAGGAGCACTGAAAGCACAGAATGCGTGACTACATCTGTTGTAGTTAACTGGATAACTCGGTTAATCAGGAAGCGAAATAGCTTTTGCTTTTTTTCTCCCCTCTGAGGAATTTGCTGTTTACCTTGTTGACTGAATCATTCTGACTCAGAGACAGTCTGCTTACACGGGTGTTCTCCTGACCTTCAGCACAGGGGTGAAGTTCACCTTTTGTCTTCTTTGTATTTCCCCGTGTAATAGGGGAAGTAATCGTTTGCATTCTTTTCTGCCTTGGTTCAGGGTATTTAGGCTGCTACTCAACAGGAAATGAACAGGAAAGAGTTTTTGTCATAGATTAATCCAAACCTTAGATCTTGGGTGGATGGATAGTATTTTCTCTTGCAGCTCAGGGGTGGGAATTTAACACGACTGCCTACGCTCTGTTCCTAAGGAAACACGTTAAGCAGCTGGACATCCGATGGCAGGAGCATTTCTGGTGGGGGGACTCCTTAGATGGCGTTATCTGTGTAAGTGCAAATGCTCACTGACATCACTAACACACCATGTCACCATAATGCAGAGAGGGCTAGCTCCTGTACCCTCACATCGCTGCTTTGGAGCAGATCCATCTAACATGCCTCTTTCCACATGCTGCCACATTCACATTTTGGTGTAAGACTGTAGCCTACAATAGATGCTTGGCCTTGCTGAAAAACACTTGGAGACAGCTGAATGATGTTCTAGTGACAGGATGAGGGATAATGTCTTCAAACTGAAAGAGGGTAGATTTAGATTAGATATCAGAAAGAAATTTTTCGCTATTGAGAGGGGTGAAACACTGGAACAGGTTGCCCAGAGAAGTTGTGGGTGCCCCATCCCTGGAAGTGTTCAAGGCCAGGCTGGATGGGGCTCTGAGCAACCGGGTCTAGTGGGAGGTGTCCCTGCTCATGACAAGGGGGTTGGAACTAGATGATAGTTAAGGTCCTTTCTAACCCAAACCATTCTATGATTCTATGAAGGGAAGGGCACAGTGGAACCATAAAATCCAAGAGAGACTTGCCATCAGTCCTGCATGCCCGGCGGTTGCTGGTGTACCAATGTGAGGAA